ATATCCTTGCTTGCCTCACAGGTAGCACAGATCTGCCATCATTGGCACAGTTGTGCATGCCTTATGATTGCTAACAACCACATTGGCTATTAAGGTTGGACTGTGTATGCATCCAAACCCAAAGGACAGATAAATTACAAGTTTGCAATCATGGACAAAAACCCTCTTAACACCTAGGATTTTGATGCACTCCAGTGCAGGAGAAAAGTGCATTTTATAAATACCTGATTATTTATATCTTACATTTATTATATTCATTTTAAAACCATCTTGTACTATGAGTATCATCAGTACCACTTTAATTGGGTAGTTTTATATTTTTGTATCTAGCAAAGTACATGAATGTTATAAATCAACAATATTCACAATATCTGATGGGAAATCAGTTTGAATCTCAAGGTTCACTGGGCATTATACATTTTGCTTGTAGTTGTAGGGATAAAATCTTGCCAGTTTCCAATTAATGAATAAATTGAGGCACTGGAATGTCCCATTTTTACAAACTCCTGCAACTAAATTACTGTGTGTGACAATAAAGGTTTCTGAGAAATCAATTTACAAGTTGGGAGATTGAAGTTCTCGTACAATTTACATTTGGTTCAATTATTCGAAATTTCAAATTAAGAGTGAAATAAAGTAGCTGCCCACTCTGGCAATCATCTTGGGGGATTGAGTCTGAATTACTCATTGCATATGCTGCAGGAAATGAATTTATGCTAAACGTGTTTTTGGTGCCATTTGTTTGAAATCTTGCTCTCTATGGTAGCATAATAAAATGACCTTCTCATCACATTCTGCCTAATAAAGTTAAAGTGTTATTGATGATCTTGTTGTTGGTAGTTTATTATTTAACATATTATTTTATATCTTGATTTAACATTTAGATTTTTAGTTTTTTTGTCATTTAATATCTGAATGATAATCAAGGAACAGAAAATATAACTTTAGTTAGCATTGTGTGAGCTTCAAAGGTCAAAGGTTATGATATTTACAAAGTTTTGCCAGTTTCTGATGATGTATAATTTGGCATAGTTTCAGTTATATTTTATCATAATTTTATAACATTCTATATTGTGAAGTGTTTATATTAATGATATTCTGTAATGTTGACCTTTTTGTTTTCATTTTGGCAGAGTAGATCTAAAATGACTATAAACTTGTAATTTGTGGGATATTAGAGTTGGCTGATTGTATTTTATTTTAAAAAGTCAGTTGTGCAGCTGCAAAATGGATTATTTCTCATTTGTTTGCAGACCAGTACTACTTAGATGTCCACTGAATTCTTTAGCACTTTAATGGCAATTTCATAGTTTGACATGTACCAATACTAACTTGGCAAACATACGCATCAATGCTAGCACTATACACAGGTGTCTATCTGCTTATATCGAGTATTTTGATTTTGAAATTGTATAATTTAAGAATTAGCAGTAATTTAAGAATTAGCAGTTATAAATTCGCAGCATGGAAGAAGTTAATTGCATGTTATTGTCTGTTTAAAATCTATAAGCTTATGATTGTTTGCAGATTGTAGATAGCTTTTATGTGGCAATCTATGATAATTGTTAGAATAACAATAATTCTGTAGTTAGCCTTGTCCAATTTTCTTGTTGAAATTGACAGGTTAAGTTAGACCAAGTAGTGTTTATTTGGTGTTATATTCATCAGTGTGGAATAACAAGAACTGACTTGATGTTGGCATTAGTGTTCACATATTGATTGTCCCAGAGGTCTGTGACTTGTAAAATTGATAACAACTTTACAGGAAATGATGTGCTTTGTTAACGAAGGGTAGCTTTTACACATATGTCAAACTGAATTCAAATGCACATTCAATGGGATGTCACATTTACGCATTAATGTAATGATTTTTAGCAAAAGTCAATAAAACAAGCTTGTTAAATGTTTCTGATACTTAATGATAATAATCATGATTATTAGAAGTAGAAAATTGACATTTACAAAATTGCTTGCAAAAGCTCAAAGCCTACAATATTAGCATTTCACACCCCACCCCCATCAGAGTGCCAATTTATCACATAATACTCTGGTGACAAATTCTCAGTCTTTTAATAGTGAATATTTGCATTAAAATCCCACAATTCATGATGATTTGTTGATCAATACTCCCATTTTCTTACCTGAAATACAACCTCTGCATGTAACCTGCCCATGGTCAAAGGGACCTGAATTTTTCACTCTGTTTGACCCCTCACCATAATGAACATTTGTGCCAAGCTATATTACAATACCTTTATGTATGTAGAATTTTCTCTTAAGACAAGCATTTCCCCCCCGACTTCTAAATGTGACCTTGACCTTTACCTCCAAGGACATATGCCCCCAAGTCTGGGATTGTATCATTGGATATTTTCTGCCCCCTCCCTCCTGCACCCTAGTTTGGACATTAGCTAACTGTATATCAGATGAATTCATACGCTTATGTTTAAATTATAATGCATTCAATATTCCAGTAATAATGCATTTATTGTAGCACTTTCATGGAATTTGGAAACATAAGCTGGATGATACCAACAATAATTGGCTGGTTATTAACATATGAAATTATTAAATGTTTGAAAATTGCAAATAATGCACAAAGACCTCCAATAATTTTTTTTTTTAATTTTTACTTGCAAAATAATAGTTGACTTTCTTATTTTACTGTTTGAAATTATCTTTACACTGTTGGAGCGAAACATTTCAGCTTGATTTGAATAAGTAGAGTAAGTATAATTGAAAACTAATACAATTTTGGAAGATACTTTTGGAATATTTATGTTATGGTTTATCTGTTTCATATGGGGATTATTGTCAATAAAATAAGACAAAATATGATAATTCATGCAATAAATGAGAACATTTGTAGGTGGTATATGTCTGGGTCAAAGGTCATCATTATATGGTCACTGAACGAAAATGTACTAATATAAAAATGCCCAGATTAAAATATTGTGATATTTTCATCAGAGAAATAAAATAAAATTGAAAATAGAATATTATAACTGTATTACAGATATTGATTAACTTATAGAGGTAGTTAACATCATTTACTTGAAACCACTAGTCTTGCCTCTCACCACAAATGACTGTATTTTCGATTCCAGCCAGGGACTAGATTCTTTCATGTGTGGAAGCTATCAAGCTAGCTTACAGAATATTAGTAGTTCCACTCAGCTGCTGGTTTGTGGTTGATGTAAAGACTTCCTCCACCAGTATAGCTGGAAAGTCGTTATATGTGACCTTTTCTGTGTCAGTTTGACTTAAATTAAAAGGAAAAGGAAAGACATTGATATTGATAATATTGAAAAACAAGTTTCTCTGAAATTCTCAAAATGATGTATATTGTTTAATATTATTTCAAACTGTACACATTTAAATGTTTGTTTGTGAGATTATATTTAATTGCTTGTATGCAAAATATGAAATGCTGTTGTGCATGTCTTGTTAAATTTTTGGAAATTTATTTGTATTGAATAAACCTGGTAAAAATGAAAAGTGGAACAAATTTATTAATTGTCAAGTTACCAAACAGCTAAACATGGAGCACCAGAACATTTGAAGTTTGAGAAGAAGGGGTTACAGCACATGCATGCAACTGTCATTTGTTACTGCATAATAAGTTGAGAAAAACAGGTGTTGAATAAAAAAACAGACATTACAAAAAAAAAGAGATTATGACAGAAAAACCTCTAATATAATGTTTCTTAATGTTGTTTTAAGTACATTTGTAGGTAATAAATGTTGAGTATGTTACAGTGTGTATGGTGTTGATAAAAGGATGTTATATTCTGATAATGTTTTATTTATTATAATATTTATATTATTCTCAGATAAATATGAACAATTTTACTTCATATATCATTTTTTCCAGTTTTGCCAAATGTTGCAACCTATTATAGCATGATTTAAGTTCTTATTCTTATATTTTTATAGTAAAAATATCTTAGTTGATGAAGTAGTGTTCAATATAAATATATCATTACATGTACATTTGAAACATATTATTGTTGTTTATAGTAAATTTAGAACAATTGTTTTTAGTTAGTAATTATTTTAGAACTTTTTATGATTATACAGCATGTTTGTTAATTGTTAACCAGGTTTTCTAAAAGAAAATGCTGGTTATTTAAAGCATAGTGAATGTTGGCGGACAGGAGTAAACAATTTCTTGTGTGCACCACTCCTCCTACATACCTTGGCAGATTTCAACCAAAATTTAATAGAAAAATATTGTCACAAGGTGACCTAGTGATTATTGTCTGGGTTTAGTGACACCTTTTACCAAATTATAGCCATTTGTTTTATTTCTACAAATATGTAAGTGGTCTTCCTCCACCTGTAAAGCTGGAACGTCGCCATATGACCTATACTGTGTCGGTGTGACGTAAAACCCAATCAAACAAACAAACAAATATATAATCAATATGTAAATACTCTTAACTGTACGTTTCATTAAAATGAGAGTCATAGCTACCCTATGACTAATTGGGTAAATTATGGCCCTTTTTCTATATGTACATGATAGAGGAATACTCTTCCTGGCACACAGCCCCTGACATTTCTTAAGGGAATAACCTGACATCATTATTGATAGAAAACCTGGTTTGTGACAATTCCTGTCATTTGTTTTACATACTTTTACTTTGCATTATGAGTATGACAAATTAATTATTGATTCATTTCATGGATATTAATAAAAAACATGTGAAGCAGATTTTGTTAAAAAAAATTGAAAAGAAATTCACTGTTACATCAAGTTATGACATTTATATTATGTAGCCTTTATAGTTAAGATATTCATGTTTCCAAAAAGAATAATATTTTGTTTAAACTTTGCATTTGAAATTTTTATATGTGTTATAATTATATATATTGCATATAATTTTACTATGAAGGAATGGTAAATATGTTGCCAGGCTGTATTGACAAGCTGTGTGGCTAGTGTATATATTGCTATGTCTAGATAATGTACTGTATATCTTGTCTTATAATTTCAGGACATGGATTCATTGGACATCTCCATTATCAGAGATACAAGGACTGGGAAAAATGCTAAAGTACCAAAAGGGGTAAAAGATTTATTTTAAATTGCATTTATTATGATTATAAGATATGAGCTTACAAAACAGTTCATATTATATTTAGTATATGATTGTGATATGACATAATGTTAATGTGATCTGACAATAATTATGTTCATGTGATGTGACAAATGTTTATGTGATTTGACATAATGTTTATATGATGTGAAAAATGTTCATGTGAGCTGACAATATATTGATGTGATCTGACAATATTTTTATGTGATGTGACAAAATGTTCATGTGAGCTGACAAAATACATGTATATTCATGTGATCTGACAATATGTTTATGTGATGTGACAAAATGTTCATGTGAGCTGACAAAATGTTAATGAAATGTGACATTGTCTCCCCCCCCCCCCCCCCCCCATTAGGTGACGATGGTCGATAAATGTAAGCTGACAAACTTTATTTGCCAACAGAAAGAACTGTAATGTCAGCTGAAAGTCTGTCATTGTTAGCTGTTACCTGTAAAAGACCGTATAATGAGAGAGCTGACAACTTTAGAGCTTAATAATTGTCTCTGAACAACAAGTTGTCAACATGAGAGATAATGATCTTTAAACTGACAGTGTGACAGGTAGAAGAATGTAAGTTGACATGTTGAGAGCTGATTGTCTGTGAACTGACAGTAAATGAGCTAATTGTCTGTGAACAGTCAGTAAGTGAGCGTATTGTCTGTGTACTGAAAGTAAATGAGCTGATTATCTGTGAACTGACATTCAATGAGCTGATTTTCTGTGGACTGAAAGTAAATGAGCTTAGAGTCTGTAAAGTGAAAGTAAATGAGCTAATTGTCTGTGAACTGATAGTAAATGAGCTGCTTGTCTGTGAACTGACATTTTATGAACTCATTGACTGTGAACGGACAGTAAATGAGCTAATTGTCAGTGAACTGACATCAAATGAGCTTATTGTCAGTAACCTGAGAGTAAATGAGCTAATAATCTGAAATGAAAGTAAATGAGCTTACTGTCTGTGAAGTGACAGGAAATGAGCTGATTGTATGTGAACTGACAGTAAATGAGCTAATTGTCTGTGAACTGAAAGTTAATGAGCTTAGTGTCTGTGAAGTGACAGGAAATGAGCTTATTGTATGTGAACTGAGAGTAAATGAGCAAATTATCTGTGAACTGATATCAAATGAGCTTATTGTCAATGACCTGAGAGTAAATAAGCTAATTGTCAGTGAACTGACAGTAAATGAGCAAATTGTCTGTGAACTGACATGAAATGAGCTTATTGGCAGTGAACTGACAACTTGAGAGCTAGTAGACTGTGAGCTGACAGTAAATGAGTTAATTGTGAACTGACAGTAAATGAGCTAATTGTCTGTGAACTGATATCAAATGAGCTAAATGTCAATTACCTGACAACTTGAGAGCTAGTAGTCTGTGAACTGACAACTTGAGAGCTAGCAGTCTGTTTGCTGACAGATTGTGAGCTCACAAACTGTGATTTGACACACTGAAAACCAAGTGGCTGTTAGCTGACAGATTGAAAGCTGAAGAACAGAGTCTGTGACAAATAGATTATATTTCATCAACCTCTTCTGTATGTATTGGGAGAAAAAATCAATGCTTGCTTTCAGCAATGATCTAATTTCCCTGTGAGAGTTTCTTTAATAAATCACCGCCTAAATACAGTCAGACACATGATTTGTCTTGTGTTTAAATAGCAGCCAATATATGAGCTAATTTTATTTTATTTACATTTTCTTAAGATAAATGAATTTCTACCTATATTGCATACACAAGAAGTTAAAAGTTTGGTCTTAATAGAGGTTGTTATTTAGAAAGAAAATTTTATAGAGTTGGTAAAATCTGAGTTTGTTTTCCTGTAACACATGATAGTAGCCAACATTGTATTGAGTATATGACAATATTCAGACTGTATGACTGGCAGATTTGGAAGATGGCATTTCCCTTATTGATAACAAATAATAACATGTATAGTTATTTCATTATTTTAATGCTATATGTTTGCAGGAAGGTAAATTACGTGAGTCATGTATGATTGGGCCACAAGATGTTCCAATAGAAGATAAAACAGTGACAATAGTTTACGGTACAGATATGGTGAACACGGAGTTAGTAAATTTTGTGTGTGCCAGTCGGGAGCTTGCAGCAGTATGTATTACTATACAAACACATGTTGATGTTTGTCACACTGTTTCTTCTATAAGACCCTGCCTTAAAACAATCAATAGTGATTTACATAGCAAACTTCAATTAAGGGAGCACCTGTCTTGTGTGATAGATGTATATATAGTGTAATATGATGCATGTAGGTGTGTCATGTGGTAGACAGCATGTTTGTATGTAGAGTATATAATTAACAATACTGTTGTCTGTGGGGGCTGTACTGAATAACAGACACAATGATAAGCTGCTGAAAAAAAAACTTTTGTGATTATTGCTTATTTTAAAGACTTTCTTTCATGTTTAATTTAAAACCCATACTTCAAATATTTCAAAATGAAATAACTTGTCTATTTTGCTTCTTCTCTAGCTATTGCTTATTTTAGCTCTTTGTACTAAACTAAAATCTAAAAAAATGTATTGAATTTGTTGGTAAGGTTAATGATTTTGGTCTTGTTGGAAGGTTGAAAATTAAGGTCACAAAGCAGGTTACTGGTACAGAATTCAAGAACACTTGTAAAAAATTGTTCACTAGTATTTATAACTGAAATACTGTTATAATTGTCACAGAACACAACTTATTAATTAAAATTATCTAGTTAAAAAAAACTGGTAAGACTTACTTAGCAATAAAATAATAAACAGAGATAAGAACAGAAAGGTTGACTTAAACAATATAAAGAAATAATTTACATAGATCAATTATGATAAAACAGTTTGAGTAGAATGATTGTATAAACCTTTATATCATGTCAACCTGTAAAACTGCTAATTCAAGTGGATAGCTGTCAAAGTTGTTAACTTGACAAGTTAAAAAGTTCAAATTGGATTGACATTAAGGACTTCTTTTTATTTTATTATGTTTACTAAGTCAAAAATGGGGAGCTGACAGTATTAAAACACAGGAATGTGTGCTGAATTACCTCCCTTTTTAGGTGCTCTCTGATGAGAAAACACAAAAAAGATAACATTTCTTAAATAACATTTATTGAATAATAATTATTTTTGGTTATAAGAGAGCACACTTCTGATTTATTGTTATTCTTATAAAATATATGTTAGGCTTAACAAATCTTTTAAAAAAATGATGACACAGCAAACTAGCATAAGAAATAGGCAGAATAAAATTCCTTAAATTCTATATTAAGGAGAAAAGAAGAAATATCATCTTTGTCTTAAAAGACAAAAGGTGGAAAAATGTCAAAAATAGACAGGATTGATCTTGTTTTTGTTTAATTTACATCAAAATTTTATTATTTATGTAAAGTATTAATGAAAATATTTTTGCAGGACAAACGCCAATTTTGATGATTTGAAAAGCATGTCCCCAAAACAGTACAAAACTTATCATATTGTTATTGGCCTGTTCTTATAGTATTTCCTAAATCATGTTTATTTTTAATTAATCTGCACAAATATTTTTATCTTTGCTTGATAAATCGTAGTAATTTTACTTACTTTAACTTGTAAAACATTCATGTTATATTATTTTAGCACCTGGGTTTTACAATTATACCATGTTGTTTAATCACTATTTGGTTTATTAGATAGTTTATACCTGCAGTATTTTAATTTTACTGTATTATATTGTATCCATTCAAGACAATGATTTAGCTTTCCTACATTTTAATATAGAATGATATTAATTTGCATGTTGTAGTAGCATCAGTGTTTAATGCTTATTTTATAAACATATCACATATCTATAGCATTGAGACAAATAGAATAAAATAACCATTTATGTATCTAAAAGTACATTTAATTTTGTTTGCATATAATTAGTAAGCCCGTCTTTCTACATGCATAATAATTTCTTAGTTTATGTACACAAAATTTGTTTCAAATGAATATCAATTAGGAAGGATATGTCCTTGATTTAAGCTTATTTACAAGGGCTGTTGATATATTCTATATTGGGTTAGAAAAGCACAGACAATGCTTCATAGAGGATAAAGTAAACAAAACAAAAAATTTGACAGTTTATAAAATCATAGGTTTTTATAATAGGAACTTAAGTTAAATCAACATGTTATTTGTTACTGTGTATAAGAATATAGGTGGGCAAAAGTAAACTTCTTGTAAGAGGTTTAAAATAGACATTATGAGAATGTTTGCCAAGTTATATTTTGTTTATAGTGGTCAAGCCAAGATTTTTGTTATTACAACTAACAGACTCTACATGGCTTTTGCATAAAGAGAAGACATTCATGAAAAGGCAGTCAGACTTTATCTTACAGAATTATCCTGTCAATTTTTTTGTCTTAAATTTTGATACTATTTGCTATTGTAATCCAACTGTAAGATTTAAAAATTGAAGACAACTTATAGACAAATGCATATTTTAAGTATGCTCTTTGGAATATACATGTGTTACTTTGGAGATGAATATTTAAAACAAAATTTGTTAAATTTGATCCAAAATGATTTTAATATATGTAGTTTAAAGTCTTTAGTCCAAAACTATTACTAATGAAAATGCTCTGACACAATTTCGCAAACTTCCAGGACCGTCTTCACATTGTAATAGATGTTTATAAAGAAATTCTGCACAGTTTGACCGTATAGCTAATATAATGGTGTTATTGATATATAATTGTATTGTAAGTGCATGCCAGGAATCTCTGTGTATTCATTATATTCCTGTAAATAATGGCTCTAATATACTTCATCTCTTACAATTCCTTACTTTAATCTGTTGTACACATTTTCTTGACATGAAATCCATCAAATTTAAAAGAAAGATACCCCTCGGTCTGTTGGAGTTACCTCCTCTTTAACACTGGCTTTGATAAGTTGATTTCTCATTACACAGATCAAACTTGATTTAAAATTCAGATAATTGATTACTATATATAATGTCTGTGTCCAATTTAGTTCTTTTTTTCATATTCATAGTACTTTAAAGACATTCACTATAATATAATATATATTATAATTAGAATCAGTCGTAAATGAAACAAAGGCAGAATATAGATATAAAATTCAACAATTTTTATGCCTGTAGAAGCTTGCATTTGCCTGCCTGTATATACATGTTCATTGTATATACTATATAGGTGTATGGTGTGAATGCATTTGTTAATATAGTACTGCATGTTTATGTTTTAACTTGCTGTTTTGGTGTATATATTATGTGATTTATTTATCAAGTGCTGATGCTTTTCTTCCCCTTCAGGTGTTCACCAAGGTAACTGGAAACTTGACCATAACATTTCTTATAGTTTTCCTCTTTATCTAATAGTTTGCTAATTATTCTAAACAATCACAACTGTGTGATATTGCTTATACTAATAGCTGTTTGATTTGTATATAAACAAAGAAATGGCCATTGGCACATAGCTCTATAAAACCACAACTCCTCTCACCTTTGCTAGCTAGATGTATGTATACAAAGTTATATATATATTACCTATTTTACCTGTTAACAGTTTACCTAATTATACAATGTATGTAAATGTTAAATCCTCTTTAAATGATTTACTATAGACTGTGAGAAACAAAACTTGTTCTTGCAGTCAAAACATGACCACTGCAGTATAATAGAATTTAGTATAATTGTTGTTAAATTGTAAAAGTTGAAAGCAACTAAATTTCTACATGTATATCAATGATTATAGTCATATTATAGCAGTCATATTATAGCAGTAATATAGTCAGTATTGAGTTAACTAAATTAAGACACTACCAGTAGTGCTTTACATTAATTTTGAATTTTCTTGTTAAATTAATTTTAATTGAAAGGTTCTCTAATTTGTAGTCAGTATTAATAAGTATAATATTTTGGCCACAAAACATTTTCAATCTTAACTTATATCCTTGATACATTTGTTGTTGAACATCAACATGAAATAGATGCATTATTTAGATTGTGTGAGTGCTCAGACTCCGACATAACACATGTCCACACCTGCTCCTCAACTTTAACAGATGCTTTAGATTTTTGTCGAAATTCTTTGATAAGTATAGATTTCTTCAGCCAGAAATGCTTAAGTTTGTGCAATATCTAAAATGATAATAATTTTCCTGTGATAAACATATGCAAAATATTCTTACTTTTACAGATAATAATTATATAATCTAATCAGTTGTTATCCAACTTGTTTACTTTTGGCACAGATCTATATGCCCTGTATGTATTCAAAAGTTAAATGGTTTGCTGAAATGCTCCACAAATATATGTGTCTCACCCTTCCCCCTGATATCATTGTGTAATTAATGAACAACTTGCTGTGCAATGAATTGTCAGTTTTGAATAATCCAGAATCTGGATTCAAGATTAAATTATCAAGGTCACTGATGCAAGGGATACGGCCACTGTCTTCAAACCACTTGCCTCTCGCTGCTGTTTGATTGAATCTTGACAAGGACTTTGAAATCTTTTATGTGATGTCAAAGGTTTGTGGTTCCAAATCCTGTGCCCACACAGACTGGAAATAATTCATTGAGAGGCACATGAGGTCTTCCTCCACCTGTAAAAGAAGGAGAGGGACACAACATGACCTTTACATTGTCAGTGTGACTTGAAAACCCGATCGAAGAAAAGATTTGATCATTTATTCAAGCAGTACAGTGTTACAGAAGTTGGTTTAAAATAGGCTGTAAGAAAGTAGAGGCTCTATACAAGTATCATAAGCAAGTGTTTTTTAACTCCAAGAAAATAGAAAAATAGCACTGTGAAATGGAAAGTGATTTTAATCTTGTAGATGAATTGTCCAGATAGAGAAATGCCATTGATTTAATTACATGTTATGATTTGTATGATAGATAATGCACCATCATTCAGTTTATCTTGTCATACATGTAATGTATATTCCAATACTGTATGCTAATTAGCCACCTGCCAAAATATGAAACACATTACCCCACCCACCCCCTCCATCCTCCCACTCAAAATATTGTTCCAACTTGTATATCAACCTGAACACATTTTATAGTATATTTAGAAAACAAGATTTTCATATGTTTATAAAACATTAACATAATTTATG